ACCGTATCTTCATTGGATTACCTTTTATCAAATCTTGTTTAACTCTGTTCATGTTTTATTGGTTTGCTTGGCTGGTTCCTTTCCTAAGAGAAAAATACTTCATTTAATTCTTAACAACATTGTGCATTTCTCCTACTCCATATAAATTTAATTTACAAAGGTACTTGTTTTTGTTTTATGCTAAGGAACATTTTCAAGTATAATATCAACAAGTGGTACCTGATATAAGAAGTAAAATAGAAACCCACCAAGTATGACTCTAGTAGACCATGTTTTGCTGCTTTTCCATATTGCCATAGAAGCCTGTTGAAAATGAAACATTTTTATTTCTGATCCCATGAGCAAAAGCTAAAGCTCAGTGGCAGAGTGACTGCTTTGCATGCAAGCAAAGCAATCCCCAGCATCTCCAGGAAGGACTGAGAATGTTCCCTGTCTGAAATCCTGGTGAGCCACTGCCAGTCAGATCTAGGTGTTCCATGTTCTTGCCATAGGTACTCTTATGCATGATGATAGTTCATTCCCAGGGATATTTGGGGGTGGAGTATGGCTGCCCATTGGTTACCATCTTTTTTTCCTCTTCAACAATGCTTCTGGGGACAATGTTACAGGATCATACAGGCTTTAGTAGGCCTTTTCCACTGCTGATGCCCAATATATAATTAATCAGCACCTAAGCAGTTTTTGTAAGGCTTTTATTTGTAGAGAGACTTGGTGCATCATCCCTCAGTCAGCTTTTGATGTCCCAGATGCTTTGCCCTAGATGAAATGATCTGTTTCAGGTTAGGAAATGGAAATCTATCATCCGTCTTGTCAACTGTCTCATTCTCCATTCATCAGAGCAGTATTTTGTTTTGAGAAATAGCACTGTAAGGCATGCTCCTCTGTATGCATTTCTTTTTATCTCTCTTTTTTCATACCATAACAGAAGTGCTTTGTTTTGCCTGTGTTCCACTTTCCAATGTATATTGCAAAGCATCCTTTAAAAACATACTGTATTGATTTCTTTAAGCAAACCTGAATCAGTTCTCTTAATTATCACATGATGATCCACTCATTACATTCATAAATACTTATTACATTACTCCAAAAGGACATTGTTAGGGAAATGGATACACTGAGGATGGTCATGTTTTGTTTTTGTACTACCACAGTCATGCAAATAAAAGACTGATTTAAAAAATTCAAATACATTTTTTGCACTGCTATGGTCTTTCCAGCTGGTAGCGTAAATGGCATGTTCATTGGCCCCAACATGAACAAATTAAATCAACTGACTTGCACCATGTACACATGGGTCCAGATCCAGAGATAGATTGCTGTACCAGAGCTTTGGTTCATACATACCTGACCTGGAGACATATTATGAACAACAGAAAATTGATGCACCATGGAGATAACATTAGTTGTGAACTGGGTGCTTCATATGAACAACTCCACTTGATTCTTTCTTCTCAAATAAAAGCAGGATATTACTGCTCAAACTACTGGTCATCTATATGAAAGGTTTTCAGCAAACTGGGATGTGTTTGCCTTACATGGCTATATTTATTTTTAGTGAAAGGCTAATAAATAACAGAGATTTAGAAAATTACACAATAGATGCTGAGTAGAAAGTCTTATTGAGACTATCAGGAAAACTCTGTGGAATGGTTGACTGTTCATGGTCCCTTCCCCAATATCATCACCCAGCATGAAATTGCCCCAAGCATTTATTTGCTACAGTCTGGGTAATACCCACAGAGTTGGCACATGCTGTTGCATTAAAAGTCAGTAATATAATATTCAGATTCGTAGGCAGCAGGGGACCGTTATCTCTCTGAAAGAAATTTTTCAACACTGGGAGCTCTTAAGTTTACTGATGCATATAGTCAGCTGGAAATGAAAATTAGAACTCTTGTCTTTTCCAGCTAGTAGAAATGTTCACTTTCTCTCCCAAACACATGTATGCACCCTGTTCCAGGAGAAGATATAGGTGGCCAGTTGTAACAACCATCCATCTACAAACAGTGTATTAATAGTAATAAACAACAATAAAAATCTCATCAAGTGGTACTTCCTAAACTTCACCATAAGGCACCTATTGAAAGCAAGCAAACAAAAATTACATTTCTCTGTCATATTTACTAGATGCCAAAAATATTTCCAGTGTTCTGATGTTTCAGGGCTTCCCAACAAGCCCCAGCTCTGGAAATCACTAGGAATTTCACTTGGCTAGTTACCGAGTTCAGAGTTCCCTTAATCTTCCTCTCAAGAATAACGTATTGACAACATGTAGAGTTACAGGGGATAGTAAGACATCCTCTGTATGGTTAACACTGTATTCACAGCTAATGTGTAGGGTGAGACACGTTATTCCTATAATCCACCCAGACTGGAGCACATTCATATATTTATGGAAAACAATAGTTATCTAGTAAAAAAGCAAATCTTGTTTCTAATATCCTAAACCCAACATTCTATCATCACTGACTTAACTATATAGCAACTTGCCTAACCACCTTTTACCTATGTATTTTACCTCTTGAATCTCACTTTTCTCACTCTCTGAGAAATAAAATATTTGAGGGGATTAGGCCCCCTCCAAAGTTGATGGGTATTCCCATTGAAATGTTTTGCATACACCACATCATGTTATCAGTTGTGTGGGGCTTACCTCACCCCCAAATATTTTATCCAAGTTGGCACCTCGTAAAGGTCCACTCTCACAGAGTGCTATTTGTATATAGGATGCTAAGCATTGTAGGAAAACAGGTGCTGGGACTCGGGCTGTCATTCCCATGTTTGCATTCTGCTTGTAAATACCACATTTAACACATACATTGTGATTAGGGGCAGAAAATGGCTGCAATAACTTCCAAGTCAGTGGACTTCAGTGACAGAGACATTGGATACATGGGCTAATGTTTGTGCAAAGGTAATGTATCTGTAATACTGGTCCACATGGGCGGCCTGTTGTATGCATGAATTGTAAGCTTTGTACACATTAGAAGTATCTGATCATAGTTAAAATGGTTTCATGCTTGTTTGTTTCTAGTTTCCACCTTGTAGATCTTTTTCTTCTAAACAGTTCTCTGTGTTATTTTATTTCATGCGCCTCTCCCATCATCCTGAAAATATTAAAATTGAAATGAGGTGATATAACATGCCCCAGAGTATTGTAAAATTATAGCCAGTCATCAAGATTTTTGAGGCTTCAGTCATAAACGAAGGGGGGAAATGTGCCTATTGTGCTGGCTTTACAATGCAAGTTGATTATAGCTCTCAAAGGTGTGAAGTAGCAAACTGCTTAGCAAAAGGGTAGCCAAATTTTGCCCAAGTGATGACCATGCTGGCAATTTATGAGGAGCTTTAGAGAGAGATTATAAATTTCCTCAGATGGAGCCAGTAAGAGACAATCTGTGTAGCTCAAGAGAGTGCACTGGGTATTGGCCACAGTGTTCTCCATTGGTTTCAAATGGACCAATAAGCATACATGAGCCACAAAACAGGACATTTTCTATTGTTACATATCATGTGTGCCAGCAATCCATTAAATAACATAAAATAATAAAATCAAATGCGTTGTCTCCCCTGAAATTTGTAGAAACCAATGCTAAACTTGGGGATAAACAATCGCTATTGCCGGCAGCAGTCTTTAGCATGTGTAATGTTTTTAAAAATAAGACTGCAGAATAAAACAAACACTTTCTTGCTACATTGCTTTTATAAATATTGCATCTTTTGCCACTTTTAAGGGGATTCAAGTAAACAGAAGCACATAAATCAATACATTTCAGTTTATTTAATAAGAAGGGAATATCACCTTGCAACATATGCAAGGTTGACAGAACACAAAAGTACTTGGTCCATTGTTCCTCTTGTGCTACCAATGACTGCTTCTGACTTTGTCTTTCCTTAGATTAATTAGCTAGCCATAGAAATCAGGCATTTTCTGCTGTATGATTTCAGTGCTCCCAGGTCCTGGGGACAGGAGGTACTGTGTATTGCAAGCTGTTGGGGGGGGGGGACTTTGAAAGCAACAGTAGCTATTTGGAAGAAATGAAAGCACATAGTTGGAGGAGAGGACAGTGCTCACTTACTGATTCAAAATAATCATCACAGATCTTATAGTGGAACTGTGTGTGTCCATATGTGTTATTTCTTGCTTATGCATTTAGACTTGTGATGCCCAAAGACCTTGGGCTGGATGGGGACATTTTAAAGCCATGGTAATAACTGGATAGGTTATTCATTTGAAGTTATGTTGATTACAGGTCTGCATAATGCTTTGCCTTGATCAAATATTTTCATTTCAGATTTGCTGTTCTTTTGTCATCTCCACGGACAATTATAAAGAATCTTTAATGTTGCAATAGCTTTGCCAGCCAAATAAGAAAATATAATTACTTTCAAATAACAAATCAACATTTAAAAGCTGCAATCCTCTATGATCTGGTAAATACCATTAAATGCAGTGAAACTTACACCTGAATAACTGTGGCTTTGACTCCACGGCAGTTAACTCTCTTCTCAAACTAGCACGAAGTTTTCTACCTAAAACTGTGGTGTGCAGTTGGATGACTCACCCTAGGGTTGGACAGTCTAGCTATTTTTCACTGTCTGGTAGATAAGTACAGTTCAGTGAATAGAAGGCCTGAATGGAAGATCGGGTCATATTTTTGAAACCATCTGAAGCAGGAACGAAAACAAAAGAAACCTCGACAAATAAGCCCAAATAAAAAACAATTTCACTTCGGTATCAGTTTTATCTGGAAAAGTGTATATCCATTTGGCATCTTACCAAATCACAGTCAGTCATGACTAACTTATGTCCATTGATTTCAATAGGTCTACTCTGATGGGCAAGGCAATCCCAAAATTAAGTGAGCATAAATTAACCCTACTGTAAAGTCCATTCAGAAGTGGAAATACTGCCAGCTGAGGCAGCCTGCTGCGGGGGAGAGGGAAAGTAAACCTTTAAAATAGAAATATAATTTTTTTAAAAAAAAAATTGTCCAGTGGCATCTTAGAGACCAACTAAGTTTGTTCTTGGTATAAGCTTTCATATGCATGCACACTTCTTCAGATACTTCTTCATACACATGAAAGCTTATACCAATAACAAACTTAGTTGGTCTCTAAGGTGCCACTGGACAATTTTTTAATTTTTTTTATATATTTCGACTGCGTCAGACCAACACAGCTACCTACCTGAAACTTTAAAATAGAGTTTGACTTACACCAGCCTTTTTGCCTACATTAGTTCTATTGGGTAATCGGGTCACATGACTGAGCTGAAATATGTATAGGTCTCTCCTTGCCCCTTTTCACCACCCCTCACACCCCAGGAATGCCCCTTTCGGGGTATTTATGCCGGCACAATTTCTGTCAGCTTAAATTTCACTGATTGAGCCCTAACTGAACCAGCATAGCCTCAGCTCAGTTCAGCCAGGACAGCCCAAGTTCCACCTATTTGAAACTCAATAATCCTGGTGGATTTTGGGTTTGGTTTGCGCTGTAACTATTGAACTTTACAGATTTGAATAATCTAATTTCATTTACCTATAGATGTTTAAGTTAAAGTTTGACAAGCCAAAATGGCTGACAGAGCCCAAGTGCCCTTTGGTGGTCAAAAACTTCATATACAAGCTGAAATTTGTCTTAGGGATGGGTGACTCTGCCAGTTTTTGTTTCTCTTTTTTCCAATTCTCAGTTAAATTCACCCCATTTCCACAGCGGTTTGTGTTCCTTTTTCCTAATATACACATTTTTGTAAGTAATTTAGCTCAATATAAAACATTTTGCTTATTATTTTTACATGTATATATTAGATAAGTATATTTGTGCACTATTCCATAATATAAGACTTCTATATGCATTTTTAAAGGGGTGAAGATTTTGAAAGATCACTGCGTTATAGTTTGATTTGGTTTAGGAAGTACAAGTTAAGTAACTGCACATTAAAATGTGAAATGAATTGATTTCTCCCTTATCCTTATCCTTAACCTCAGCACATCTTACCATGATTCATGGACAAGTGTGAGAGAACACCACTCCCTCTGAGCATTATGTTGTCTTGTCCTGAACAGTTAAAAGTATATTTATTGCTTTTCTTTTAGCGTTAAGTCATGATCCAGAAAATTTAAGCATTTTTTAAGTTCCATGGATTTCAGGGAGTGGGTTACAGCACAGTCCTTTGCATGTCTACGCATGATTTCGACTGGGCTTACTCCAAGGTTAGTGGGCATAGAATTGTATTTTCCTTCTTGTATACATTAGGTAAGAGAATATATAGCATAGACTTCCCACTTAATAAGTAACCTACCAGAATGCACTTTTGTTTTACATACCTTCCTTGTTTTGGTACCAGATAATGTAAATGGCTCCAGGAGCTATATTGTGTTTGTACCATGCATCCTTTGTTCTACAGATGATAATAAAAAATACTCTTGAAGAACAACCAAGATTGTTCCACATTTTTGGTCCTTAAGCTAATTCTTGTTTAAAGAATGAGTTTATTTATTTGGCACAATTAATGTATATGGCATTTTACAGTGTTTCATAAATGAAAAAAAGGGGGGGGGAAGGCCAGTGCTCTGTCCCCAAGGAGTTTGTTTAAATTTTCGACGTTGGGGAGAAAGGCAAGAAAAACTCTGATAGGAAGGAAAACACCAGTGCTGTTGCATGAATTTAGGCTTTGATACAGAATGTGCAACAGCATTTGCTCGCATTTTAGCTGATCTGTATCAGAGAACACGGAAAACAAAATGTCATACCAATTGTATCAGCCACGGGCAGTGTAAAGAAAGCCTGGTGACTATCTGGCTGGAATCTCAATTAATGAATTAGGCAGAGCTTGCTTAAACTGCGTCTTGACTCTGCTGTCATGCTTCTTTGTATCAGTGGTTTGAGTGTACTTAGAGGTGAGTCAAGTATGACTCAACAGACAGTGCTTTGAAAAGTGAGTTTTTGATTGCTAGCGAGCACAGTATGTGTCTGTCTTGGGATGCATTTTTCTATCAGTTCATGTTGTACCTTTTAAAGGCTAGCTTCCGTTTGTGCTCAAAGAAACGCACCAGAAATGCAGAGTTAAACAGCTGCCAAATACAGAGGGTGTCCTTTGTGACGGAAGATGGAGGGCTCCAAATGACTGCCACCTAAAGCTTAATTAATCATATGATATGGTACCACAAACAGGAAATGATCGTGCAGATCATGTAGCAGATCATGAAATTATACCATTCGGTTGGATCCAAAGTTGTTCACAAATGGGTCCCATCAATCACGTTGCTGTAAATGCAGTAACATCCACTTTTACTACATAAGTTTGATCCTTCAAGAAGACTAAAATTGTCAAAGAACTTTGCCTAGAGTAAAACCAAGTTGAGTTTGATGGGTAGGACTTGGTTCTTATAAATTTATTATTGGTGGAGCATTTTACGTATTTTGTATTGTCAATGCTTTAAATTGCCTTCATTTGCTGTATCTTATTTTTTGTCAAGTCACTTTGAGACATTCTACTGTAAAAGGTGACCAAAATAATATAATAATAAAGTAATACAAGTGATAGGGCTTTCTCAGTGGCCTCACCAGTACTGCGAAACAACTTGTCTTGGGAGCTTTGGATAGCCTCATCTCCGATTGCCTTCCACCACCTTATGAACACTTTATTGGCAAGCTTTTAATTTGCTACACTGAAGTGATTTCATTTGCTACACTGAAGTGATTTCATAGAAGTCTGCATCTTAGCTATCATGCTGTCTCTTATTGACTATTTTTTATTGTTACTATATTTTTATTTTGTTGCTGTGCTGCAGTAATTAAGTCACTGTGATTTTAATTATTGCAAGCCTCCTTGAGTGATTCATATGCATTAGAAAGGTACAGTCTCAATCTCATAAGTAAATAAATAAATAATAAGTAAGTAAATAAGTAAATAAATAAAGTCAGTCCTGGACTTTAAGAGGGTACTCTGGTCTGGCACCTGAGACTCCACTAAGATTAACTGATTAATGAATCATGATACTAATCTGTAAATATTAGAATTCAAAGTAACAATAATGTTGCCACATTTGTAGGAAGACAGGACAAATGGGAATTTACTTGTAAGCGGTAAAAGCACGAATAAACCAATGCAGGCCCAGGAAGACAAATTATAGGTAATAAAATGGTAAACTGTGTGTCACATCTTAGCTCTATGTTCATATATCTCTTCATTATCTAAAAGTTAGTATATGCTCTATAAACCAGGCTCTCCTCTTCAGGGTCTCTTTTTTTAAGTGTCTCTTTGAAGAGTCATTTGAGAAAGCAACACCACCAGGAGAATTGTGTCTCTTTCCAGCCTAGGTTGGATTTGTCAGCACCAAGCAATAAATATAAACAAGGAGAAGCTCTAGGTAAAAATAGCTTGGCCTCAGACCCATGTATTCAAAATGTCCAGATTAGGCTACTGTAATGTGTTATACTTGGGGCTGCATTTGAAGATGGTATGAAAGTACAATTAGTCCAAAATGTAGCTGCAAGGCTATAAACTGGGACTGGGTGTTACGATCTCACATTTTGCCTGTGCTTTGTCAACTCCACTGGCTCCCATCTCGTCATCAGACTCAATTCAAAGTGCTCATTTTGACATTTAGCACCCTTCATGGCTGGGAACAAAGATATTGAAGGACTCATTGTCTCGCCATGTGCTTTCCTCAACACATGCACTTTTGGGTGTCCCGTCATCTGTGGTGCAGTGGGTGGCTACCAAAGAAAAAGCTTGTTTAGTGGTGGCACCTGCACTGTAGGATGCTGTCTCCAACGAGTCTTGCCTAGCACAGACCTTGATATCATTTTGGTACCATCATATTTCATGCTGGAAGTAATCCCCCCTAGACAATTATTCAGTTCTGATAGCCAAATACTCTTCATTACTACTTATCACAACGGTAGGAATAGAAGTTATTGAAGAGCAATGCCACATGGCCAAAAGTAAGTGAGAAAGGAGCATAAAGCAGTGTAAACCAAAGTGGTGCAGTAGTGTGATTGCATCACTAATGCACACAACCTACTGGGTGGCATGGAAAAGCAAAGGAGGATTGGGATGGGATAGGAACAGAGAGCAAATGGAAGGTGACATACAACACTGAAAGCCTTTCAGCAACAATGGAATCATTTATGTTATGGATCCCTCTGCACCTGAGAGGCTGTAGTGGTTTGTTGTACAGCAAGCATTGATGGCAGTTGATGTAGGGTTACAGCTGATGATGGACAGTCCCAGAAACCAATTGTGGGTGGACCTGCAGCAGTGCAGAGTTGCACTTGTTTTTTCCTCTGGGCTACTCCATCCCAACTCTGCCTCTTGCATTGAAGAAAACAGTTCCCAGAGAGACAGTGCATGAAATAGGAGTTAGCCTATAGAACAGAGGGCTGGTGAGAGACACATGACTGGCCTCAAGCTTCATTCAGGTTCTCCACCTTGGCTTTAAAGGGAGTGCAGGAGAGTCATGGTTCACATTTGATGTGACCGAAGCAACACTGTTTTAAGTCACTGTTCACACCACGTATATAGGATCAGGCTGCATCTAATTGACTGAGCGGCATATTTTATTTTGTACGGAAAGAGAATTTGCAGATAACCTTTCTGAAAACCCCACCAGCTTCAAACCTCACTGCTTAAAAATACACTCACATTTGAATGTTATGCTAAGTAGTAATTGGATTTTAGCATGAAGAAGTGCTTTGTTAACAGTCAGCTTATCTTCATATAATTATATACCTAAATACATTACTTTAGTTGAAATAAAGGTAATCACACAAATTGATTCATAATCAGTGAGTGGATACATGATAAATATTAATTTCTGAGAATTATTGCAAGCTGCTGTAATAGCAAAAACCAAAACATGTCATTGTATCCTCTCTCTCCCTGGTCTTTCAAAATACGTATTCTGGTTGTCAGTGGGTAGACAAAAGCATTTAACAGATGGGCCATCTTTTTTACTTGTGACTGCTGTGGAAGAGGCAAAGACAACATATTGGAAAGAAGCAGGTGGCAAAGGAAAATGTGGACAGATTCTTAGGAAATTTATACTCAGGACCTGAAGCTTAGCTTATCAGACTGTAGATTTAAAAAATAAATCTAAGTAATAGAACAAGACAAAAA